AATTTTTGGCGTCAAACCCCATCGTTTGCCAATCATGTTTCTGCATTGCCAGAAAGTTAAACTAGCTTTGCTGATTTTGTTTTCTATGTGTTTGTTCCAGTTAAGTTTACTGTCCAAGGTAAGACCTAGGTATTTTACCTCGGAGGAAAGCTGGAGTTTTGTGCTGAAAAGACTTGGAAGATGATAGTTGTTCAGCATTCGTTTTTGTGTGAACGTTACTATAACCATTTTTTTTTGGATTAGCGGTTAGGTCATATTCCCTGCACCATCTCTCCACAATATGGAGAGCCACTTGCGTCGGATCGCACACAATGCTTGCTGTCTTACCAGAGACCAGTATTGTCAGATCATCTGCATAACCGACTGTGTAGAAATGGTTAGAGTTTAATTTAAATGTTATTTCATTTCACAGACTGGCGCCAAAAAAGCTGAATGAAATAACAATTATTTTAAATGCCTGTTGTTACGTTGTTGGTTGGTTAACAAACCTGCTGTAGAAAAAAATAATTCTGATCGTACATTACATAGCAGCGAATTGCAGTGTGCATACAGTTAGTAGATCATTATTTGAATAACCATGGCAAGGAACTACTAAATTGATAATTGAATCAGTCAATTGTTTTTTTTTGTAAGAATAACCTATTTCTAGTATGTACTAAGTTTGCCTTTTTAGTATATTTTCCTTTATGGGTCTACTAGAAGAATTTTGCTACATTATGGAATAAGTAGAACATTTGTATAACTTCACTGTATGACTATTTCTGTATCTTGTTTTGTGTACATAATTAAATTAAATAAAAAAGATTACAAATTGGATGTTATAATAGATAATTAATTTAGTTTTCTTGGTTCAATTTTAATTTAAAATCTACACATAAAATGCAGACATTGTTCTGCCCTTCCGGTAGATAATGCAATGAGTTTAACACTAGACTTTTAACAGTGTAAATATAAAATTTATTAATAACTTAACCACAGCACCCCTCATCAGATCTAGATTATGTAATTTCGTTTTTATAGGATTAAAACTACAAAATATATTGTGACTATGAGTCATTGTCATTGCTCTGGCATAACCATGAACCATTGTCACAATAAAATAAATATGTTGTTCGAATAATGTCTTAATCGGTCAAGTAGACAATCACTTAAAGGCTTACAGTACTACAAGATGAAAATAAAAATACCCTGTCAGATCTGAAAGAGGCACATTTAGCTTAATATTCCACAACTTTTTTTTTAAATCTGGTTTACCATTTGAATATGCCATTGGTAGTTTTGAATATCTGGCAAAAATGTCCACTTGAAGCCTACTCGCCCTCTACGCTGTGCTATGTATGTTTTCTCATTCAATTAAGTTTTGTGGGATTATTTTTTTTTTACTTATTCTCTGAAAGTGATTACATGAACGGAATCATGGATTCGTTAGGTTTTTTTTACATATTATTGTGTGTGTAAAATTGAAGCAATAAAGAATTTGTACTGTATTTTTTAAATGATTTCAATTAAATTGTCATTCTTGCATAGCTTATGGGGGTGCAAGGATAAATAATTAAGTTTTTCCCCCAAATATCAATGTTACTTGTACCTGTGCCTTTTACTATCAAAGTTATAAACAACACTGGCAGCAGAAGTTGAAATACACAAAAGAGTACCTTGTAATCTGACAAATTACAGATCCAATGATAAGATTCTATGTACTTCTATGTAGTTATATATTTATATGTACTTTGAAGTACAAATTATTCATTATGTATGTCAAATTTAGTAAATTAAATAACACAATAGAGAACTTACATTTTATAAAATTAACATCATTAAAGCTATAGAACTTACAAAAAATATGCAATAATGATTACTTAATTAACTTAGAATTACATTAGAAAATAATTGTGTACAAACAAATGTACACACTAAAATAATCAAAAATTATGAATCAATCAATTTAAGAAGCATCAATTTAAGAGCGTTATCGAGAAGTAATAACGCTTTTTGAGGAAAATTATGATCTTTCAACCATTTTCTGAATCAAATTTTTCAATTAAAATCAAAACAATACCCTATCCGTCGAGCACAATAGTTGTGGGGTGTACAAGTTATAACTTGTTCAATCATGCATTAGCGAAGATTGTTAAAAAAATATTCAATAATAAACAATATACCATGTCGGATTACAGGGGGTGCCGGATTAGACAGGGCCAGATTACCGGGGGTCCACTGTAGTTAAAAAATAACGAAAGATAAATAGAAGAAAAAGGGTATTCAAAACCACCACTTGTTTTAGCAGTAGGTTTGCACAAGCAATATACTGGCTCATAAACTAATACAAAATTTTTTTAAATAAATATCTTGTACTTCAGGGGTGGTCTCATATATACTTTGAGAAAAAAAGTCACCCCTAAGAGTAGCAATATAGGCGATGTTTTTAGTATAACTGCTTTGATAACATTGGGATTGTGATATTTCTCAGTCCATTTAAAAGGGCATAAAAAATTAGATGTTTTAATTCTTCTACACATTACGTCTAAGCACTGACTGACTGATTGAAATTATTATGTTATTTTTAGTTCTTTGAAGTCAGCTTTTACTTTTTGTTGCAAAATTATTTTCCGCATATGTACTTAACCTATTTTGGTGTTATCATGTATGATGTCCATCATGCAACGACACTCCATATGCGATTGTGACCAGCACTTGTTACAATATGATTGAATTGTGATTGCGCTATGCTGAAGTGTATTACACTGTTTCACCTGTAAAGATAATAATATTAAGTTCTTTATTTACCAAAAGGTAGTAACAACCAGATATTTGCTTAACATTAACATTTAATAAAGTTGAAATGGTACATGTATTTGAAACATAGCATCTGTAGCCAAACTAGGCAGATCTGTGCATTAGCTGTCAGCGCTATATCCCCACCGTTAATTTATATAAATATTAGGATGCAAGCAAAAGTATAATAATTAAATACTATCTAAAAAGTTTGTACATTATGCTAACATAACCTAGATACAATGAAATTTATTGGATCACGTTTCATATACTAAGTTGTTACTTATACCCAGGTACAAACTAGATAATAATTTATACGAATAATGTTGTTCCTCTCTTAAGATGTGTAATGTATGACTGTAAGAAGTGTGTATGTGTGCGTGCGTGTGTGTGTGTGTGTGTGTGTGTGTGTGTGTGTGTGTGTGTGTGTGTGTGTCTGTGTGTGTGTGTCTGTGTGTGTGTGTGTCTGTGTGTGTGTGTGTGTCTGTGTGTGTGTGCTGTGTGTGTGTGTGTGTGTGTGTGTGTGTGTGTGTGTGTGTGTGTGTGTGTGTGTGTGTGTGTGTGTGTGTGTGTGTGTGTGTGTGTGTGTGTGTGTGTGTGTGTGTGTGTGTGTGTGTGTGTGTGTGTGTGTGTGTGTGTGTGCGTGCGTGAATGCGCGCGTGAGTGCGTGCGTGCGTTATTGTGTAAGTGTGTATGTGTGTGTGTGTGTGTGTGTGTCTGTGTCTGTGTATTCTCTCTGTGTGTGTGTGTGTGTGTGTGCGTGCGTGTGTGTTTGCGTGCGTGCGTGCGTGCATGCGTGCGTGCGTGCGTGCGTGCGTGCGTGCGTGCATGCGTGCGTGTGTATGTGTGTGCGTGTGTCTAGGTATTATTATTTTTTTGGGTAGTATTGCGAAAGTTATATAAGAGTTTAAGTCTGAATCTGAAGTTATAGGTATAAAAGTTGTTTCACAATTATATGTATCTACGGAAAATTTCCTGCGTTTATTTAAATTCGTTGGAAGGTCGATTGGTCCTAAGATAATTTGTGTAAGCAACAGTGCAAGTTGAATATCTGCTCTAGTATTTTTAACAGTAGTTTCTTCACATAATCCTAACACATCTTTCAACGCTGTGGCTTTGTGAGCTTAAATTTATACTAATTGTGTCACACTCTATTTATTATTAACTCCTCTTGCAGGTTATTCCATTTATCCACCCTAGTGTGGATACTCGGAAACGCGTATTTATCTATCCATCCAAACGGGGTGGATAATCGGAATTCACTTTCATTTGGTTTTCCGACTTTTTACCGCAACTACAATTCAACATATACCTACACTTCAATTAATAATTAATTTAAAAAAAACATATTACGTATTTCCGTTAACGTTACCGTTCCAGCCTAATAAAGTCCATGCATTATGTATTGAATTTAAATCAAATTAAACTTTCTCGATTTAAATAATATTATTACGTAATTTATAAATTCTGCAATATGCCCAGGCAATTACCAACACTAATTTCATTATTGAGTAGACATAATTTCATATCCTGGATAAATTCGTCAATTTTGATTTATACTTGAAATCGTTTTCTAAATATTTTTGCTACAACAGATGTTTGGCGTTTTTTTTTTGCAAGAATTCTAAAGACGTTACTATTTGATGTTAGTCTTTAATTTCATTTTAATTATTTTATTCCAAGATTCCAATAATTCTGTAATCATGTTAAGTATGTATGTATATATTTTTATAGGTAATGTCTACTAAGTATCTTGGGCCAGTTTTTATCAAATTCCTATAAATGACTACACAACCGAAGGAGAAAATCGGAAGAAAAATAATATATATGAATTCTGATTATCCACCTCGTCTGTGGTGGATGAATGAACATGCGTTTCCGAGTAGTTTGTTTGCGTTTCAGGGTAGATAAATGAAATAACTCTCTCTTGCTTGCAAAACCGCTGATAAACTTGTGTAAAATACATTGGATTCCTGTCTTCAACATATATACTTATTAGTGATTTTGTCACTGCTAATATTGTTTACTAATAAGTAAATGCAACTTGTAAATAAAACATCTATATAGATTTATTCACTTTTTGGAAAATTTTACTTAGATCTTTATGCAATAAACCTATTAAATATAATTATTACTATATCATATAATATACTATACTTACTTATTAATTTTTTGTTTCAGGATACATAGCACATAAAATAATAAAAGAAATTAATTAACTAAGGATGGGTAAAGAGTATGTATGCATTATGTTTTTGATGACTAATTGTATTTTTCCTTTTGTTTACATATTAATAGCATATCTAATGATTTAAATATTATTTGTCATTAAACTGTACCTATTGTAGAAGAAATCATCATTACATTCTGTCACAAGTCTACTGCTGAACATACTATTAGAAGTAAAACGAATATTTTATTTTATTGATAAATATCATAAACAAAAATTAAGTTATTTTCTATAAATTTATTATATTTCTCAAATTTTATGTCAAACGTAAAGTCAAGAGCTATTTTAAACAATTTCGTTGACTATTTTAGTACTTTTTACGAAAAGTTTTATGTGTACATATTTTATTTTCATTATCTTACTTTAAAAACTTACACTTACTAACAGATCAAAAAAAGAGATAGAAAAATCAACAAATGGTGAAAAATTTGATGATGAAAGTAAAAAGAAAAAGAAAAGTAAAAAACACAAGAAGCATAAAAAGGCAGCTGGGCATGATGAAGAGGATGGCTTTAAAAAAAAGAAAAAATCTAAAAAAGAAAAACATAAAAGCCTTAAACCTGAAAGTGAAACATCTCTTTCTGATGTAGAAGAACTAATAACCAAGTCTCGGCAATGGGTACCAGCAAACAAAAAATCTTCACATGCATCACCAATTTTAGAGAAGGACACTTCTAACAAAGAGAAGGCACCTAAAACAAAAAATGGCGACGCTGTTGTTGGTAAATCGCATGGTTCAACTAAAAATAAAGCAAATACAAAATTAAATAAAGATGATGCTTTAGAAATTATTTCATCTAATTCAGAGACAGAAAATTACCAAGACGATTGTGCAAGTCCAGAACTAGCTTTAATAGAAGATGACCTTAACCTTGAAGAGCTAATGAAACAAAAAGAACTTTTACAAGCTCGTTTAGTTGCTTATTTTTCAGACAAAAGTGATGAAGACAGTGAACACACCAAAGAAAATGCAGGAAATGACGTAATTTGTATAAATGACGATGACGTTAAATCACCTTTGGCTAAAAAAAGCCGTAAGAATCGGGACCATGACGAGAAACGGAGTGGGAAACACAAGTCAAGTAAAGATCGCTCATCTGAAAGAGATAAGCATCGTTCAAAACGTTATGAAGAAGACTTAAGAGTAATAATAGACAGGGAAAACAGAAAAGAGATGGAAAAACGGCTAGAAGAGAGAGAATATCGAGAAAGAAAGGAGAGAGAACGTCGCAAACATGAGGAAAGAGAGAGAGAAAGGGAACGAGAACGGGAAAGAGAGCGAGAAAGAGAGCGCGAAAGAAAGCGGGAACGAGAGAGAGAAAGAGATCGGGAACGTGATCGTGATAGAGACCGTAGATCAATAGAACGCAAACGAAAAGATAGAGAAAGAAGTCATCGTCGTTCAAGAGAACGATCTCCAACTTCACGACGGGATCGAAGGCATTCAGAACGTGAACGTCGAAGTCGAGATCGACTTAGGGGACGATCGAGAGATAATAATTCCAAAGTAGACCATAGAGATAGGCATAAGGTAAGCTAAGTAAGATGCCATATGTATGTGTATTACTGGTTTATATTCTTAAGTAAAAATTGCAAAGATAACACGCTTCCCAAAACAAAAAAGCATTTTAGACTAAAACTACTTAAATATATGTGTTATTTTTGAAACTATTATTATTTCATACCAGTAACATGGGAGAATAACGTTTATTATTATAGCTAACTTACTATACAAAAATGGTAGGGAGAGCCTGTAACTTAACTGCCCTAATGTCCTTACACAACCCTAGTTGCTTATCACACCAAAAACCCGAACTCTATCCATTGGATGACTCCGTGAGCCAGTGACTTAGCAATGAGTTGCGGCGCTGATTGCCGCGGGTACGAATCCCACACGGAACAAGCATTTGTATGGCCTAAAAATAATTGGCCTGAGTCTGGATGTTTGTCCTCATGAATTAAACTGCCGCCACGATACAGGAGCTAGTAGTGTGGGGGTAAAGATTTAAAACAAAAAGATTGTGATTATATATTATACAAAAAATAAAAATAAGAACACAATAAAGAATGAATTATTCAAATTGTGTCATACTTGACTATAATAATTATGATGATGAAAATAACAAAATGCATTAACAATGTTGTAGGTACAGCAAGTATTATATTTTTCAATTACTATTCATATTTTTTTATTCTAGGCATCAACAAATGAAGTTGCACAAATTGTAGCTAGTTCAAGTGATGAAGAACTTAACATATCTATTAACACAGACGAGGAAGAAGAAACTGAAGAGCAAATAATAGAGAGAAGAAGAAAGCAGCGTGAACAGTTAATGCAGGTCTTTATTTATACAATATCACATTGGTGATATTTCTGTGTAATTTCTTATTGATATTCTAATTATTAATATAAAAATTTATTACAGAGATTAGGTGTAAAGAACAATGTTAACACTGACACGGGCAAAATAACACCACCAATAATAGAAATTAAATCTGACAAACAAAAGACTGAAACGTCTGAAGTGAAAAACCGTAAAGATCTTAATACCCTATCCGAACACATTGTAACAGAGCCGAAAGTGGATACTAAAACGGACATAAGTGAATCAGTTAAAAATTCCGAAAATGAAACAAAAAATAGTTTAAAATCGGAAAACTCTGCAAAAGGCAGTGAATGGGACATGTTTGCAGATCAGGACAATTTTGATAGTGTTGATGTAAGATATTTTCATAATTGCTATGGTTAAAAATGTTTAAAATAATAATCTTGACAGTGATAACTTCTTTTGAAAGGCAGTTCCGCCAATAGTAGACAATTTAATTCTTAATATACAAGATAACAATTTTTTTTATTAACAATTTTTTCCATATGTTATTATTCCAAAATTTCACATATTGTGATAAGGTTCATGAGGATCATATTTTACTGTACATTGTACCATTTCTTTGCAAACAACTATATCCTAGTACAAATTTTTGAAAAAATGAATAAAAATAAGACAAAGTAAATAGTCATATTGTGTATTTGATATTACAATTTTTTTTCAGACTCCAACTACGGGGAAACCAAAAAATAAAAATGCTTTGGAAAATCCTTCATTAACTGACAATTGGGATGACGCTGAAGGATACTACAGGTAATCTTCTCTTTATTTATGACAGTGAATTTTTTACGAGTGAAAGATGATTATAGGAATTTTATAATTTCCTTTCAATGGACATTTTTATTAATAACAGTGGAATATGACGGCATAGCTGAGTCATCATTAGTTAACTCAGTGCGTGCGTGCGTGCGTGCGTGCGTTCGTGCGTGCGTGCGTGCGTGCGTGCGTGCGTGCGTGCGTGCGCCGTGCGTGCGTGCGTGCGTGCGTGCGTGTTTAAGCGTTTATAGCATTAAGTGTTTATAGCATTGTTAATATTCTTAAAAAAAAAACAAGGTATCAACTTGCTCACTTTGAACTAACCCTGCGTGACGGGACTTACTGCAGCATAACTTAATAATCTTACTGGTTAATTTTTGATTCTAATAGTTTTCAAGCGTTAAAGTTCGAGCTTCTACAATATTGTCTGTGCAACATTGGTGCTACGGCCGAAACTCATATTCGAAAATTATCTTAATTTTTAATCTCTAGCTGTGTGCCTATACAAGTGGTAAATTTAAACAACCACTTCAATATAAATAAAAGGAGAACTAACTTAAAAACTATTCATAAGATTTTGATAAAATTTATATGGGACCACAGAAGAAGCACCAGCTTTGAAATATAAAGGATCATCAAAATCGTTTGACCTAGAAAAAAGTTCTGAGGTAACATACATAAAAAATACAGTCAAATTGAGAACCTAATCCTTTTTTTGAAGTCGGTTGATGATACTATAAAAACGATCTTCTCAAAGAAAATGGCGCAAAAATTAAATAGAAAAAGAGCGATTTTAAAAGCAAAATAATTTATTGATGTACAACTTTATTGATTCTTATTGCTAAATCCGGATCTATTGCATTTACGTTTACTTTTTAGCAAAAATAGGTTTTTACATTATTTTCTAAGATGGGGTTCGAATTTTTCAAGTTTCTCCAGAGGGGAGCGCACCCAGGCAAGAAATATTTATTATTTACAGAGCGACCAGACACTAGGGTATAATGATGATACATGTGTAGGGAGTAAGTGTATGCAGGTAGACAAGTTCGTGCTTTGTGGTAATGCTCGGCGGTAACCAGCGCTCGGTTGTGAACTCACAATGGTCTGCAATAAAAATGATGATGAAGAAAAAAATTTTATATCTATTTGTTGTTTTAAATTTGTTCTGTGTTTAAACCCACGTTGCTGTTTCAGAGTTCGTATTGGTGAAACACTGGACAACAGATATTCAGTGTATGGCTATACCGGACAGGGTGTATTCTCAAATGTTGTCCGAGCAAGAGACATAGCCCGGGGCAATACTGATGTTGCTGTCAAAATCATCAGAAATAATGAAATTATGTAAGTTCTTTATAATGTTCAAAGGATATTTATTAATTTTGTTTATATTTTTCACTGTTTAGAATTATAACTGTTTATGTAACAACAATTTCAACAAATTACATTCCAATTTTTTAGGCATAAGACCGGATTGCGAGAATTGGAAATTTTAAAGAGGCTTAATGACTCAGATCCTGATGACAAGTACCATTGCCTACGTCTTTTTCGTCATTTCTTTCATAAACGACATTTGTGTATGGTACTAGAGCCCTTATCAATGAACCTGAGAGAGGTCTTGAAAAAATACGGCAAAAACAGCGGTATACATATAAAGGCCGTACGGAGTTACACTCAACAGATATTACTTGCCTTAAAACTGCTGAAGAAAACTGGTATTTTACATGCTGGTAAGTTCAATAATTCTAAAGAAATGTTAACCATATTTACTTATTGTAATTATTTTTCTTTATCCAATTTAGGCCACGCTGGCATCTTGATTGCTATTTTTTGCATGGGGAAGCTGCTGTAACTAGATATTAAATGGATGGGCTAGTTGGATGAAGCAGCATTTTGATCAAAATAGCATGCATATTTTGGCAGTCATACGCTGTTTGGTTTCGTACGGTGAGTTACGAGTACTGAGGGATTCAACATACATCCTGATCCAAGTTTGATTCTCAGCGTAGATAAATTTTATTGAATAAGTTTAACATGTTTAAAACTGATTTATGAAGTGCTTCAAAATGCTGCTGCAAAGTAATATTAATTCCAACTGAACCACATTGGAGCGGAATTGCATACTCTTCCTTGTTCTATCTCTTTCAAAAAATGGGGCCTGTGCACAGCGATATTACACTTCAGATTCTGCAATCAAAAAAAAATATAACTTTACTTGATTGAATTTTAAACCTCTAGGTTACCTGTGACTCGGCAGTAAACATATGTGATAAAATTCTTTACATCACACTAATATGTTCGGTGGCTTTGAGCATAGCGACAATTTCGGAGTGCTATCATGAGTGGGCAACTGCCAGCACATGCGAATTGTATGCAAAAAAAATTATATACAAACACCAAAAGCTCTAACAAACTCTATTTACTTATCCCGTCTATGTAAAGCTATGCAGTAAGATTGAATCACTGAGCCACTATTAAAGCAATTCACTTTTTAATTAAAATGCAATATTGATACTAATAATCAATCCAAATTTTTAGATATTAAACCTGACAACATACTTGTTAACGAGAGCAAGTTAGTCTTAAAACTTTGTGACTTTGGTGCAGCATCGCATATAACTGACAATGACATTACACCATATCTGGTCTCCAGATTTTACCGAGCACCTGAAATAATTCTCGGAGTGCCGTATGATTACGGCATAGATATGTGGTCAACTGCTTGCACAATATATGAGTTGTCTACAGGAAAAATTATGTTCAGTGGCAAATCCAATAATGAAATGTTAAAGTATTTTATGGACTTAAAGGGAAAGATTCCTAATAAAATAATAAAGAAAGGTCATTTTAAGGAGCAACATTTTGATGCAAATTGCAACTTTTTATATCATGAATTGGATAAAATTACAGAACGGGTAAGTGATTTTTCTATTCCAAAATTTTGGTTGAGCTAAAATCCATCATAATTATAGAATATCTGCCGATTTTATCTTCTATATTTGTCTCATAATGTCATAGTTACATAATTTACATAAGACAGGTGTATACCAAATTATTTAACAATAATTAAAGATATAACTAATATGGCATACATATGTCAGTAATGATTTTAATAACATTGGAGTAAGGCAAGAAAGACCCTATAAAGAATATGTAAATGGTTCTCTTTTTATTGTACATTTTTTATAATGTGCGCTTATAATCACTTCACTCTCATAGTTCATGTTTTGAACTTGAATGAATGAAGTTTAGTCCTGTTTTTAAAATTGCTTGAATATATTAATTTTTGCTCTTATAATAATAATAATAAATTCTTTATTTGCCTCAAATCTTTTAACAATTAAATGTAACCCTGGCTTCTAAACTAGTTGTAATAACTGTATCTTAGAAACCAGTGTCTTCCCCAATTAGTGGTATGATTACAATAGATTCTGGCGACTTAAGAATAATTAGGATTCAGTTAATAATTAACTAACATGCAGTAAATGAACGCAAACACACCACTCACGCACGCACGCTTGTGTCCCTGTTTTGTTTACCTAGTTTGTTCTTGTAAATTATTTATAATTTTTACTTACAATAAAATACTTAGATTTGTGATAAATTACATACAAATAATTAGCGCCGGATTAACCACGTAGCAAGAGTAGCAATAGCTACGGGCCCCGCGCAAAAAGGGGCACGCGTATCCAAACCTGCCCATCAGCGCCTAAGTGTAGTTTTTTTGAGTGAAAATTATGAAAGCGTAGTAAGGTTACCTGAGGCGCGTGCGTGTGTGTGTGAAATAAAGTGTGACATAAATTAATTAAAACTATAATCGACATTTAAATACTTATACTACTATGTAAGGATTTAACTTAGATAATTCAATTTCATAACCTCTATTTTTAAGTGGTTGTTTGTTTGATAAATCGTTTTAGTATCTACAAGTAGCATTTTGTAATTTGAGGGAAGACATGGGGGGATGAGTCGCTCGCGTCCATAGGCTTCGACCACCTAACCTTAGGCCCACCCTACACGTGTCCCCCGGGTGGTGCTAAACGAGCGACAAAGCCGAAAAAATAAACTCGGCTCCTCGCCGTATGGTAGCGGCGTAAAATCTATCACCACCCCTTGTTCGCACCATGAGTCAGGAAATAAAAGAAATGACCCCGAGTTCCCGGCGCCCCTTTAATGGAGCAGGGTGCAAGAAAGAATCTCCGGGAGAAAAACCGGCGACGAGGTTCGCCATCCGTCCTGTCGCCTGACGTTCTGTCTCCCGGAGGGGCGAAAAGTGGATTGCGGAAACCCGTCTGGCTACGCTGAATGTATGTGGAGGAATGAATGATAAGATGGATGAAGTATGCGAAATGATGAATGACAGAGGAATAGATGTGTTATGTGTAAATGAGACGAAACGAAAGGGAAAGGATGCCACTGCACATGGCACGTATACCGCCTATTGGTCTGGTGTAGACGAGACCGAACGGGCATGCCAGGGAGTCGGTTTCATCCTTTCAGAAAGAATGGGTCAATGTGTGAAAGAGTATGAATGTGTAAGCCCGAGGCTGCTATGGATACGAATGAAAGTGGGCTTAAAGAAGCTGTTACTGCTAGGGGTGTACGCCCCAGACATGTCTAAGCCCACTTACATCCGAGAGCAGTTTTGGGACATGGTAAGGATGGTGTTGACAAAATGTAAGGAAAATGAAAATATTATTATGTTAGGAGACTTTAATGGAAGAGTTGGGGTGAAGAGGTCTGGTTATGAAAGGATATTGGGAACGTTTGGTGATGAAAGTATAAATGAGAATGGTGAAGACCTCCTCACCGTATGTGTGGAAAAGAATCTTTTTGTGACGAATACTTTTTTCGTCATAAGAAGATTCACATGTATACATGGGAAAGAGGTGGTGATAGAAGCATGATAGATTTCGTAATTGTGGATGAAAGAATGAGGAGCGCAGTCGTAGATACAGGGGTTTACCGGGGGTCCAACGTAGGGACGGATCATTACTTGGTCTTATGTCGAATTAATGGTCTTTTCAAGCGTTGGCGGTATCGGACATCTGTGTCTACCACTGCGTTACAGCGTATAAGAATAGAGAAGTTACAAGATGAAGATGTGAAAGAGAAGTATAAATGTAGACTGAGAGAAAATATTAGATGTTTGAATGAGTTGTGTATGAATGATTTAGACTTGAATACTGTGTGGGATAATATTAAGAAAGGTTTGGTGGATGCAGCCACCGAAGTATGTGGTGTAAGTAAGAGAACAAATGAAAGGAAAAGTAAGACATTGTGGTGGGATGATGAGGTACGGGTGGAAGTTGAATCAAAGAAGAAAGCATGGTTAGATTTACTAGCAACCAAAGCTGGTTATTCTTCTGGTATGAATGATGAGATTGAAAGAAAAAAGGCAGAATTTAGACGTCTAAATAAGAGAGTAAAAGAAGTAGTTGAAAGGAAAAAGAAAGAAAGAATGGATAAGAATGATAGAAGGATATCTGATAATTTCCAGACTAATATAAAAATGTTCTGGAAACTCGTAAGAACTGCCAGGGGAAATACAAAACAGCCTATTATTAATACTATAAGAGACGAGAATGGATGTATTCTGAATGGTGAAGTTTCGAATTTAAACAGATAGAAGGAATACTTTGAAAGCGTGTTTATGAGTGAAGAGTCGTCTGAATTAAATGGACTAGAAATTCCTAAAGAAGTGGAAAGGGGTATGGAGATAAGTGTAGATGAAATAATGAAAGCAATGAAAAGCATGAAAGCAGGTAAGGCAGCTGGATATGATAGAGTATCACTCCAGATGCTAAGGGCTGGAGAGGGAGTGGTGGCAGGCCTGCTGTACACATTGTTTAATTTATGTTGGGAATTAAAACGGGTACCGGATCACTGGTATAAAGCAGTTATAGTACCAATATATAAAGGAAAAGGGTCACAGCAGGACTGCAAAAACCACCGTGGTATCAGCTTGCTTAGTATTGTGGGTAAACTGTATGCTAAGGTGTTAATTGAAAGAGTTATGTAAGAAACTGATGGAAAAATTTGGGATGTGCAAGCGGGTTTTAGAAAGGGAATGGGGTGTACAGATCAAGTCTTTTCCATGCGCATGATTGCGGAGAAGTTTGTGGCAAAAACCAGAAAGTTTTGTGCGTTCATGGACTTGGAAAAGGCTTATGACAGAGTGGACAGGAATATGTTATGGCAAACACTGAACTCATATGGGTTGAGCGCTGGTTTGATACAGGCATTAAGGTCTCTTTATGGGGACTCTAGTGCTTGTGTCAGGATCAATGGGGTCTACTCGGACTGGTTTGGCATCCATAAAAGTGTCAGACAGGGCTGTGTGGCTTCCCCTTGGCTGTTCAACCTATTTATGAACAGGTGTTTGCAAACTTTGAAAGATGATGAATGTGGGTTAAGAATGGGCGAGTTAACCGTCAAATGCCTTTTGTATGCCGATGATCAAGTCATATTTGCGTCATCGGCGGCTGAGTTGCAAATGATGGTTACATTAATGAACTGGGAATTAAAAGAAAGGGGAATGAAATTGAACGCAAGTAAGACGAAAGTGATGGTTTTTGAAAGAGAAGAAAGCAAAACGGTATGTGAAATAAGAATAGAAGGAGAGTTAATTGAGCAAGTGGATGAGTTTGTGTATTTGGGATGTGTATTTAGCAAGGGATGGTAGATATGATAGGGATATAGAACGACGAGTAAATGCAGGGAATAGAGTGAATGGGGCACTACACTCTATTATGAAGAACCAGAATGTATCAAAAAAGGCACTAATGGTAATTCATAATGCTGTGTTAGTCCCTACTTTAATGTATGGTAGTGAAAGCTGGGTGTGGCAGAAGAAGCACGAAAATAGAATAAATGCTGTAGAAATGCGGTCTTTAAGGAATATGCTAGGGTTGAATCTGAATGACAGGGTGAGAAATTGTGTGATAAGAGATAAATGTGGTATGCAAGATGATGTTGTGACCAGGATTAAGAAAGGAATGCTTCGGTGGTTTGGTCATGTAGAAAGAATGAATGATGAAAGAGTGACAAGGCAAATTTATATGGCAGATGTGAACGGCAGAGTCGGGAAGGGACGCCCTAGAAAAAAGTTTATCGACCAAATTGGCGATATTTTGAAAATGGGCCACGTTAGAAGTACCCTTAACCGACGAGCATGTATGCGTAGATATATGGATGTAAAGGAGGCGAAAGAGGTATGTCAGGATCGTGCCAAATGGAAGTCCGTAGTCTCTGCCTACCCCTCTGGGTGACAGGCGTGAGTGTTTATGTTTTTTTTATGTTTATGTTTAATGGAAGACAGTCCCACTTACCCGTCAATGAGGCAAGTGTATAGTATGTTTCTTTTTGTAGTTACTTTATTATTATCTGTGGTTTTCGAGAAAATTGATGAGATAATACTATCATCGATATATTTTATGATATATGAAAACGATTTGAGCGTCTATTTTTGTGTAACAATGAATTTTTCCCAACATGGGGCAAGTGTGACTGTTTTTAACCAATATAGAGAATGCGCCTTTAAAAAGATTTACTACACTAGCTCTGGATGTTTTGTGAGTATAATGAAAACAATGTCAAGTGCAAAATAAAATTTAATTTAAAAACGTTAACTATTTATAATAATATAATCATAATACTTTAGTACATGTATTATGTATGCTATTTTATATGAATAAAACTTAGGTATAAATGTACTATTCAGTTAAATTAAAAAAAAACGCCATCATCGTTGCTTAACAGAAAAAACATTGGGTTTTTCTTCTATTTTGGTCGACATAATGCTAATAATACAATACTTTTTACTGATCATTACTTTCAATATTCTGTACTCCCAACACAATACTGCCATTTTTTCTTCTCGTAATATAGCACCAAATAAGTGTTATTTTCTTCTAAAATCAAATTATACTTGTGCCTTCTTCTGTATCTGTTTCGATAACATTTATTACTTCTGCTTCTGACATTCTCTGTCGTATTTATTGGTATTACCTTGGTAATACTATAATATAAAATAATAATATAATGTAAAATAATAATATAATGGTATGGTCCAAGGGAGTAAAAATACATACAAACACACCGGCAAATAGCACCATCCTTTTTAAAACTACAGGCCTATGGCCTTCACCTTGTTCTCCAAAATAATGGCATACATTATTAACTGCCGGCTTGTGCGGTACCTTGAAGAGCATCAGCTGATGTGTGACCGTCACTACGATTTCCGTCGAGGTCGCTCAGCTGACGATTTTTTGTCTAAGTAACTCACCGATGGGCGGAGGTGGTCGAGACCAAGAGGTAGGCCCTGGCGAATAGTTTCGACATAGCGAAGAACTTCATCGGGTTCGACTTATTTCAAAGCCTCCCTCTTATGGGCTTCCCGAAGAATTATGCAATTAGGTCGCCAGCTTTCTTAGAGATCGGTATATTAAGATTGCAGGCGACGGTTCATGCTCCGATTCTAAGCCTGTGAGTGTTGGGTGTTCCACAAGGCTGCGTGCTATTGCCTATCCTGTTCCTTCTGCATATAAGTGATATGTTGCATACTAATAACATTCATTGTTATGCAAACGACATATGCCGACGTCGGCCGTGCTAATTTTTCGGGAACACGTCGTCGAGTGCCGGAACAAATATGTGTCTGCTGAAGTCGAGTCTTTGTTTAACAAAGTCTTGGATTGGAGGCGAATATATCTAGTCCAGTTTAATACCAAAAATACACAAGTCTTTGCGTTTGCCGCAAAAAAAGAAATCCTTGGTCGTAGGTATTTCCTCGATTTCAGTACTCATCGATAAAATATAACATAAGCTATTCCTAAAAAATATAATATACTTTGTAATAAATTTAAATTTCGAAATAAGTACATACTAAAAAGATTTACAATTATTTGTGTAGTATTGTGAGTTTTAAATTTTATATTCTTTGTATTCTTTTGTTTAAGGATGCAATAAAGAATAAAATAAATAAATAAATAAATTAGCTTCTTATCAAAATCATTCTCAATTTAAAGGACAATCTCATTTCTGTCTATTTACTTGTCAGTCTAATAGAGGCCATAGTAAACTACTGTATTACTAAACACTAACAACGTTGTAACCTTTAAAAAAACGCTATAGACCCTAAAATTGCAGCAGATCTAGCACCAAATGCGCTGAAATGGTAACACTGCTTGGGATTTCCGCCCGCGTCTTGCCCCGCACCGTACCGCACGATTGCCCCGTCTAGATAATTTCGATGACCGACCGTTAGCAGTAGTTACACCGCCTTTCGATATATCGAATGTTCCAGATTTTAAAAATTGCAACGAATTTATGTGTAAAAATAATTATAACGCTAAATACAAAATTCACTATAAAAAACTTATGACTAATTTCACCCATGCTTTTCTAAAATAATATATTGAGGAACTGTACGTCGTGTCAGCTATGTTGATCCCAACGTGATTGATGGAATTCTTCAAGAGTACGAGTTGAGTTATTTTTATCCTTGGTAGGTTTCATAATTTCTGTTTTAGGTAAGTTACCTAGAATCTGACGCGCGTCGTTTCAGTTCAGTTCCGCGGTTAAAGTTTCTTGTAAAATCTGCTGTCTTATGTCACTGACGCAAAATTTGGTCATTACTGTTTCAATGTTTAAGAAAACTATCCACCGGTTCCATATCCAGACTTGGTGGCGTTTGGTAGACCTTTATATTTTCTGGGGTCACAGAGATTAGTTCACACCTTAAGATTGAATTCAATTCAATAAGTAACAACACTAACACAGTAATTTTATAATTCTCGAAGTCGCGGCATAGCGCTATGCTTTTAACTCTTTCACAAGCAGGTACGAGATCTCGTATACGGATTTTTAGATAGTAAATTCCACTATAGTAACATTCATTTGGTGAGGCATGCCACTGATATGATATGTTGTGATAACAGCTTTTCAAATAATTTTGATGTGCTTAGGTACTAGTGTTTGTTTTACCATTGTGTCTAGAGTGAGTTGAAGTAAGAAGAATGACAGGTTCTTAGAGATGATCGTCACTAAATATGAGTTGTCGCCGTGTCTAACTTACGCTGTCATCTAGGAGGCTTTTAGGGGCCAACAATAATATTTTTGCCAATTTTCTAACAAAGATTGTTTTTTAATCACGCTGTTATTGCGTATAATTAATTACATTATTCCCAAAGTAATCTTCTTTACCTTTCCTCTCATGATCTTGTTTCGTTTTAGATGAGCTCTAAGCGGTGACAATGGCATATTGATTGTTTTTTGACGTACTTCTAATTGAATTATTATCATATAAATACTCATATAGTTGTATGAAAATAAAGGCCCACAATACTCTTCATTCACTTTTTCCAAATTTTTGGAATCGTATATGTTTGTGTATGATATTTATAATACCAGCAATCATACCATTACTAGAGTCCCCACTAAAGATCCCAATCAAGCTGAAAATGATTATGTTACGAGTAGAAGCGCTTTATGGCAGTAATCGAATGACAGATTCGAACTCACGTTTTCATAAATTAATTTATACGTTTAAATATAAAGTAAATTAAATTAAAGCCATTAAAACTCTTGACAGGGCCAAACACGATCGTCGGTCGTTTGGTTAGGAGAAAAGGAAAAGCAAACAGCGGACGGTGCTCTTTATAATACTATTATTGTTTTCAGGAAAAAGTGGTGATAATGTCAAGCATAAAACCAACTCGTGATTTGCAAACGGAACTAGCTCCTGCTCATCACCGCCTGCCGCCAGCAGAGGCTAAGAAGATAGCTCAATTGAAAGATCTCCTTGAAAGGATGCTTATGTTAGACCCGGCGAAGCGGGCCTCCGTCAACCACTGCCTCACGCATTCATTCATTCAGGAGAAAATTTAACATTCATGTCAATAAATAATGTGTAAGCATGCTTTTTTATACATTCATTAAAAAGGAAGAGGACCTATTTCTTTAATGTTATTGACATAAGTTTGTGACATATTTATGTAGTAAGTTAAAAGAACTGTACTTACAAAAATTCTTGTTTTTTCTTGAAATAGTAACGTCCCTATTGTGACTAAACGAGTGAAGCGGAGAGCGCGGAGCGTTGAAATATTATAATTCATTAGTTTTAATTAAAGACATGTTAAGAATAACCGGTGTTTAATAAAACTTTCTAAAGCCGACCCGGCAGTTACTTCTGATATTCTTTTAAATCATGTATTTTAAACGAATTAGAATAGTTCTGAAAATGGTTATCTTTATATTGATGTAAGATTAAAAGTAGAAAACATAAGATCCTTATTTATTTTTTAATGACTTAATGGTACAATAATAATTATTAAAATAAATAAATTTACTGCAAAAATCACAATTAGGAAATGCATTTTTAAAATGAATGAAATTTAAAATGAATGAAATTTAAAATGAATGAAATTGAAAATGAATGAAATTTAAATTCAAATGAATATGAAAATAAACTACATGATTTGTTTAATAAAGTTATTGTAAAATAAGTGAAGGTCCTTAATATGTACAAAAATAGAAAATATAGTAAATACTACATATGTATTATTATTAATGTTATACAAATTAAAAAGAAAAGCTTTTGTACTTTTAAAATAATTCGGGTATAAGAACTTATTTTTAAAATAACGTGCGTGGCATGCAGTACGTTAACTACCAGTTTTGGATTGTATTTATAATTTTGTGTAAAAGAAATGTAATGTTTTATTTGTGTGCATTTACTGGGGTTACGCGAGTGTTAAAAGATGACTCAAGAAACCTCACCTAATGCCTTAATGAGTGTGGTAGATTAGAACTTTCACATATTTTGCAACTTGATTGTTGTGTAAAATTGTGTCAATGTTGAAAATAAATTATTTAGGTATGTAACCAAAAAGTTGTTTTTATATACTTTTTGTATTTAGAACGAGAGCTACAACAGTAATCCCATAGCCTTTATCCACAGAAATCGTAATAATAAAACAATAGAAATGAATTAGCGCTCGATTACTTCCAAAACCGATGTCGCCAAATCTTAACACATACGCATGAAGCGATCGATGTCTGCAGCCGTATTGTAAACATACGAAATGCACAGTGATATCTAATGTTTTACTTTACATTGCTTGGCGAGTTTGTAAACATCGCGTGCGTTACATATTCTGGTAGAACAAAAGCAGCAATGGTATATTGTACATTACGAAAAGTAGGTAATAAAGGAAAGTTTACAAAGGTAAATATCATAGTGAAGTATACATCTAGATGTACATTAGTTAAAACAATGAGGATTAGTAAATAATCAACTTACCGATGAAATGTTATGCCTTTATTAGTTGAATTACACGTCCTTGATGAGTTTTTACAACTGATTATGCTGAAGTTCACCATTATAATAACATGAATTCACGTACGACGTTCCCCGCGCAATTTAATTTCAAAATGGTGATTGATGTTCGTAAACACATCATAGCGGCGACAAGGTCTTATTATTACAATTTCTGTGCCTTTACCGAATGCCGTTCCGGCAAGATTAAAATCTAGGGACACGGCAGTGCCCCCGCCAAGTCGAGCAAAAAAGCGGCACGGCCGTACCATACTTTTCTCGAAGCAGTTCAGGCCATTTCGACACCCCTATAACTTCGTTGTGGATAAAACTAGAAACGATACAATCTAATTTAATATAATATGTATTACTTGTGAGATACATTGTGTTTTCATGCGATTACCCAAGTCAATGTATTTATTTATAACATAAAATTATGAGGATGATAAAATAGCTTCAAAAACCAGTTTCTCATCCTTACTTTTATTATATATTTTCCCAGTAACGAATCCACTCGTCAACAGCTAGTGCCTATCTTTTAGGGATACTGCGACATTTATTTTTCAAAGTTTCCAATATTGGCCTGATTTTATGAAAACGATCATACTCTAGTGTACCTGAGGGTGGTTGCGCATTGTTGTCATTGAAATGCAGGAACTGACAGATATTTTTGAAATCATTTAGCGACATTGTCTCCATAATCAGAGGAATACTCAATTCAAGTGACTAATACATTCGAATATTTGGCAATAGTGACTAGCTCATAATCAGACAGACCTAAAAACTTTTTCAATTCATTTATACTGAAATGTTGAATGGTTTTGAAGATTTTTTAAGTACTAAATTTGTGCCTTTCTTCTACAATATGCTCCAGTAGTTCATCATCAATAAACCATGAAAATTTTTGAACAGGACTTTCAAATTCTATAATTGGTGACTATAAGCTTATGTTTCCAGTAAACTGTGAATGTGGTGAATTTTCCAAATAAACTTCCTTTTCGTTCTCTAGATGACAGATGCAGAGCTATGTTGTCTAGTTCTGTTAGCAAAAGCAATACTAATGGAAGTCGATGATCGCCTCTTTTCACGTGATTATCACCTGTAGTTCTCGCTGAAGTCACGCCTGAAGTACTAGTTTGAGTGTTTATTTGCTGCTCGCTCGATAAATAAACATCTTCGTTAGTGGGAGACAAACGGAGATATCTCTGCGGTGATGTTTCTATATCGGTAAGGGATTCAGAGAAAAAAATTGACGGTAGACTGAATTTTATGTTTTCATCACTTTCGGCTTCAGAAAAGTCGTCGCCATCTTCACTCCCTGATGGTATACCCAAGAAATCTTCGATATCTTCAGCACGTAATCGTTTGCTCGACATAATCTGAAATAAATAAAAGTATTCATAAGTACACTTCTCGCAACTACGTATTCGTAAAAAGGAAGGCTAAAGCTCAACGTACCGTATGTGGAACACAGATTAAAATACGATTTATTAATAGATATAATACAATAATAGAAAAACTAACTTACCTGTGCAAAATAAACACTTTTTAAAATACGTTATATTTTTTTTCCGGATCAAAACCCTAATGTAAACGATATTTTATTATTTAATATACGCAAACGTCAATCGCAAACTTTTGATATAAATTTCGCCGTTTACTGATAGTAATCGGATCAATAACTACATCTACACGCATTTGTTTGTGTATATCATTGCTAAATTTGCGGTATATCCCTTAAAAACGAGGGGATGTCTCGGCTAGTATTTCATAGAACTGTAGGAACCATAAAAGTGGCTATACAACATATGGTACTGTGTGCCTTGTAGTGTCGAAGCGTTTTGGGCGCATTTTATAGTCACTATGTTTTGGGTTCCATAGTAGTGGTTTTGAGTTATAGAGTTCTATTAGTTTCAATACTTTTTCGTCGTCCCATTCCATAATGTTTAGTCGATAAAAAACACTGATACATCACTATTACTTAAAAGCAGGCGGGCAACAGAAGAGCGGATAGGGGTGTGCCGCGGGTAGACCGCGCGGGCGCAAGCCGCCGTCAAAATCACGGTAATTTTATCTATACAGTAGGTATTCCAACTTCATACAAACGGACGAAGCGAGAGCTATGTCTACGCGCCTCGATCTCGGCATGCAGACAGTCGTGACTGGGCCGCAGTGATGATTTTGTGGAATACTAAAAATGGAGGAAATATTCCGAACTTCATTTAAAACCAAACATATAAATTATAAAGTAGCTGCAGGTATCTATAACCAAGTAAAAGATATTCCTTTTCTCCACCTTGTCCATGTTTCCCAAAACAATTTTTAATTAAGATTTATATTAGAATGCGGATTTTTTATACTTAAAAATGTAATAATAAAGCATTTCGTACGTCTCAGCCGAGGCGCAAATATTTTTCGCTCGCAAATTTATAAGACCGATATGTTATTCAAACATAAACATGTTTTTTTTAATTAAATCTACCAATCAAAAAACAACACGCATTTTTATTGAACACTTTCTGTTCAATTCACAAAGTACCTATTTTATTTGTTTATATAAAAAAGTATATTTACAATCACAAAACTAAATGGAAACACAAAGTAGGCAAATGTAATGGTGGAGGCAGGCAGCCCTATCGCATGTATACGTACCGCACGGCTGTAGGTAGCTGTAGGCATTTATTTCAAAGACACGGCCGAGTTATAATACTGTATAGACAAAATTACCGTGTCAAAATAGTGAAAATCGGGTCGCCGGCCTTGCCCGCCAGGTTCGTGCCGGCGGGCTTCGGTGTGTAGACACTAGACAGCTTAACAGGAGCTTTGCGGGAACTTGACCTTCGACGGATTGTCGCTCCTGTTTTGTAGCTTGAATAATGGTTTGAAGTGAATTTTGTTTCGTAAAAGTGATGCGATTTTGTGAATTAAGTGTCTGCGCGTGTGAACTACGTGTGCGCGCGTGTACTTAAGTACCCACAGAAATGTCGCATCTGAACAAATTAATTTCATAATCTATATTCCATGACATGAGAATGGCGTCTTAGGAATAATTTGTTTTATTATTTAAACTATAATACTTTTTTATTAATTAGGTAAGTATCTTATTAACCGATGAAACGGAATTCCTTGGTTTTTACTAGAGATGGGCCGAATATTCGTTTTATATTCGGTATTCATATTCAGCCGAAAATTCGGCTAAATCACTGAACATTCATTTAAGTTTTACTCAAAGTGTCCACTGTATTGAAATGTACGAATTGAGTAATACCATGTCTTTCATTTTTTGTAGCATTGCGTGACTAACGAGCACCCAGTCCACCTGATGGTAAGTGGATGCTGTGATCTATAGACATACACTCTTATCCTCAACTGAGGATCAAATGCAAATGCGTTATCATCCATGTACAAAGGGACTCCTTAGGTTCTCTACACTCACCATACGAAACACAGCAGCATTACTAATTTACGCTATTTTATTTTCATAATTTTACTGTTGAAAGAATATTTTATTTATGGGTGAAATATACTTGTATAGTGTTATGTTTTTGAGGCTTGATAAAATGTTTTTGAAATCAAACAAAGAAACACTACATTTTACTTTACTTTGGTCGTCAGTTTCTCGAAAGTAAGTCCAAATATTAGATATCCCGGCACTCATTTCTATCATATTATTATGAATTTTCACTAAGAATAACACAACAAAATATCTTTTTTCTTACAAAAATAGTCAAAACATAAGCATGTACCGGCGATTTCCTCAGTACAATAACATATCAGGTGTTGCAATAACATATCAGGTGTGGCGGGGGAGCGAGGGGCAGAGTACGGCGCTAATCCCGCGTGCTTTATGGTAACAAGTTTCAACATAAATTGGTTAGTTACCGAGGTGATCCTGCCGAATAATGTTCGGTCGAATATTCGGTTCGGTAAAAGTTTTACCGAACTTTCGGCCGAATATTCGTATTCGGTGAAATCCATATTCGGCCGGCCCATCTCTAGTTTTTACTGACATTTCTTGAATTATTTGTGCAATATCTAAGTACACACGACGGCATATTTTTATCAAGAGATTTTTTAAATCAACATCACGTGACAACTCTACAAGCGCCTAAGAGTCACAGACTACTATGACTCTTATGCGGATAGAAGATCAATCGAACGACATGCACCAATCCAAGATTGTGGTTAATCTTGGATTCGCGATACATTATTAATTTCGGGCGTAAGAGTATACTACGCATCTAGGAGTAACTGATTAAAGTGCGGTGTAGTGCACAAACTAATAAGATTAGTGTAAGCAACGCAGTTGATTGGAACAGAGTAGCTGAATGCAGTGTCGCCTCTAGTACGTAGTATATATTAGCTCAATGATTTGTAAACACAAATCATATTTTATTATATCTTGCATTACTTGTCAGATACATAATTTTGATAGAATCTGGATTTTACAAGATTTATTATATTAAGAAATATAAACATATTTCCTTAAATTAATTATTACAATTCTAGAGATGTGTTTACATAAATAATTTTTAATTTAGAGAAACATATTTTTTAATAGAATAAATATTCGAAAAACTAGATCGATGAAAAAAAAATTGATTTGTGCGATCCAAATTTTCCCGCACAATTTATTTTATCTGCATCAATGATCGATGGCACAGAATTTTGTTCCCATTCATTTTATATGAAGTTAACATTCTTCTTCGCGAGGAGCGTAGACAGAGAAACCTATAGACTAATGGTTAGCGTGGCCTCGAATGAGAAAGGACAATAACGTAATTTTAGGTTATACAATAATCTTTATGACTTTTAAACATATTTAGATAACATTTTTAATTGTTCTAAGAACTGAACTGAACAAGATTCCACCAATCGTAAGCTCACAAAACACTTTTTTCTCACTTAAACCAACATGTAAACTCCTTAGATCGCTGCGAACTGTCAAAATTGTTTAGCAAAGTGTAGTTTGCTAAATAAAAATCGGCACGGAGAAAGGGACAAACAATCACACCGCTCTATTTCACTTCTATGCAAGACGTATGCATAAATCTATCTTTTTCGTGTGCGAATGCGAAAAAAAGGCGTCAATTTGTCTACAGGTTTCTCTGTCTACGGCTAGGAGTAATAGTGCTCTGTGTTTTATACAAAGTACTCTGTGATATTCATAGATAAGAGTGTATCGGTATATACCGTAGACAGAGAATGCTACTGTCTACGGTATATACCGTAAAGGCACAGGCTAGATAGAGAAACTGGCGTGAAGGTTAGCCTTCATCATAGGGTGCGTTTGGCAGAAAAAAGCACTAGCAAGCGCTTACAAGCGCTGAAATAGTATTCGGCAGGACACGATTGCTACTTCAGTAGCGCTGACACAAACCGCCATTTTGCTTATTTAATTTGTTTGTTTTGAAGTAGAGTTTATAAGTTGTTTTGTGCAATATTAGTTTTAAGTAATATAATGACATGAATAAACATACTACATGTTATTAAAAATTCATGATTGGTAAGTTTTTAATATGAATACTTTTCAAACATATATTTAAATTATGTAGGGTTCCTTGGTTAAAGCTAACTTCGTGTCCTAGAGGAAAATAGCTACTTACGATTTGACAGCGCTTACTGCTTACGATCGCCATTTTGCTTAGAAGCGCTTGCTAGCGCTTTTTTCTGCCAAACGCACCCATAGATTACTGACTATGTCTATGTACTAGAGAGAGCCTTCCAATATATACTCTAGTCTATGGAGCCTTCATGGTATTTTAAAATAGGGAAAGGAAAGTGATATTACTTTATTATGCATGTGATTTTTTTTAGTTTTATTGTGAAGTACAAATTAAAATAACAAATCTATAAATCAATGCATCATTATGTTTGCCCCTGATCATGGATTTAGAGTTCGTCGGCTATATAAGCTTATATTACGAGTTCATCGAGGTTTACCAGCTGAACTACGGATACTAGGCGATAATTATGCTAGAGATGAATTTAAACGACATAAGAATTGTAATTCAGATGAAGCTTGCGTTTTTCTAAACGAGTGGACAGTAAGTTTAAACGTGGTCTCTCTGACATAGATTATTAGTTTGCAGGTGCTGAGAGAAGAAAGAACTGACCTCGGGATGTGCTTCCAATATAGCAAAGCGAGAGAGGTCCCCGGTTGCGTTCCGAACGGAGATCCCGGGACCCCTCATATAAACGCTGATGGTGACCACCGTGGGGTTTTGGCCGGTAAGAGTCTGGCATAACCTTTCTGATGGCCCCGCAGCAGAAGGTATCCATAAACATTTCCCCACGATAAAAAAGGCCTATGAAGCTGAAGATGAAGCACAGTTACTAGCATACAGCTTTAAAAGATTTGTCTCACCACACTGAG